GTATTTTAGTTAAAAAATAGAAAAAGAGTTTTATGTTATACTATTTTTTTTTTGAATTTTATTATGAAAGTAATTAACTGAAAATGTTTATTATATATTTGAATTTTAAAAAATATGATATTAATATTTAAATTAAGTATCATTCCAGATTTAGCAAAGAAAAAGATTTTGTTCAATTATTATACTCTAAAGTGATCAAAGGATATTATAAAATGCATTTTACAACTAATGTCCTTAGAACTTATTAATTATCCACTGAATCGATACTGTTATACATATGCAAAGTATGTAATTACAATAATATTTTAATCACGCGTCATATATTTTTAACTTGAAAAATTCATTCATTACCTATTAAATTTACAAAGAACCGAAACGTCCAACAGTATTTTTTCAAATAATTTTATACAGTCTAAAACAAAGTTCTGATAAAGCGAAGATAGTATTTTCGATATGTTTTGTAATTAATATGAGAAATTAAAGTATTTATTTATAAGCATGGTCATATCAATGCATCTTATTACATTTCAATATTAATTATGATAACCCATAAATTTTAAAACCTTTGCATATCAGTATAGTTTAAATACAAGTAATAGTTGATATTTCGAAAATTATATCCAAAATATCAAAAGAAAAAGGAAAGAAAAAGAAAAGAAATCCGAAGGAAATCCGGAAAATTTATGAGTACCTTTAACGTTGATATTTTTAAAAGCTTAATTACTGAATCAGAAGAAAATAGATTATAAAAAACTGGTAATATAAACCTAGAAGATTTTTAAGAATAACTTTAAGACTAAACCAAATCGATAGGTAGTTCCATTTTCCCTATATAAAAAATTCTGGAAAAAACTCCAATAAATGATCCGAAGAAACTAAGGCACGTGATCATTTTTCTGAAAATTTTTATGCCCTATAATAAAAAATATTGTCCAAACACTGTTCGGTTTTTTGTTCGGCCAATCGACCCCGTTCCGAACATTTACTTGACATTTATTGGACATTCATCATGATATTGTACGTTTTTTATGTGATTAAAAATTCCCAATCTCCGTATCTTGTATTAAATTGTAACAAATATTGTACAATAGCGTGCGAATGTCCGGAAAATTGACTCCATTCCGAATATTTATCAGACAAACATTTTTTATAGGGATGGGGTTTCTTAGTAATTTATTCTTTAGATAATAAATTCTTTCTGGTGACCTGTAACGGAGCGACTTTATTGTATGATCACACATGATCGTAAGTCTTCATCCTAAACGTGACTATACTGCAAAAAAAAAAAAACTTTTTATTGATCTGATCGATCCTTTTACGCCACACACCACCTTTTCTTTCTATTGAGTTATCAACAGTGAAGATATTGAGAATATTTAGAATATTTTAATTGCGAAATTGAGCGTTATATAGTATCTCTTATACCAGAAGATAATGGTTACGTATGGGTTTACATATTAAATCAGATTAAGGTCACTCTTCTTTTGACACAACATCATGTTCAATAATATTTCATATTTGTAATGTATAAGAACAAATTATTTAGCGAAAATCAAGTTAAGTATAAATACGTGATCTATTATAGCGAAAGTAATAAGTAAAATGTAGTATCTTAATAGTTTATTATATTATTATATTAAATAATAAATTAAAAGTACATGAAATAAAACATTTTTTGCCAATAAAGAAATACATCACGATAAAATAAAATTACCAAAAATAATTTAACACAAAAATTTTTTTTGTTAACAGAGGTTTAATTATACAACTTACTGTATTTGTTTAATATAATAATTACAGAAAATAATCGTCCCAGATGGCCAGATGTATTCATGTAGATCATGTGTAACCATTTTTTATGGTAATGCTAGGGTCGTTCAGGTTATAAGCGATTAAGTTGATTTTCTCACATTTTGATTTCTTGTAAATTGACGATAACCTATCGCGATAACTTGAAGAATATCTTTATTATCCGCTATAAATATATAAAAAATAAATTATTCCCTAAAAAAAATTGTTATTTTTTTTTTTTTACAGAGATAGTCCGGACTCCGGATATTCTTTAATCTATAAAAACTTTACGATATCAAAAAAAGAAACGAAAAATTTAACGAATACTATATTAATATCATCGTTATTAGTTAATAATTATCTTTCCGGTTATCTTCAACAAAAGAAAGTGTCCATACCACTACAATCATATTTACTAATTTGTGTAAGTAATGACAGTAGATTGCGTTTGTAAACCCGGTCAATATAGGTTTCTCAGAGGCCATACGCTGAAAATTTCAAATATAGCCTGGTCTCTTGCCGGGATCACACCCATTGTCTCCCATTGTTAAAGAATTAGTGGTACGTTATCATAGTCCACTCCATAAGGGCAAGGGATTGTCATCATCTCGTGATTTATATATTAGACGTGTTTTTTAAAAATTTTTTTTTTTTTTTCTTTGATCGATCAATTAGTCAAGAGAATTAGCTATTGGATTGGCGTTAATGTATCCTATAAGTAAGTCATATTAAAAAATGAGAAAAAGATTTTTTTTGTTTTTAATCTTTTTTAATCTCTCTCTTTTTTTTCTTATTAACATGTACAGCTTCAATAAATAATCAAAGAATGAACATACAAATAATAGTAATAAAAAAGTTCCACCAAATAGATAGTATATAGTAGATATGATAGATTTTTATTGATATCGCCAATATCAACATTATTTTCATTCGCATGGATAACAGGACATTGTGTAGATATTAATGATTTAGATAAAGCGAGTTCAACTCGTAGAATACATAATTTAATTTGGGTAATATGGGTGAAGTATGGGTGATGATGATCTTTTTAATAATTTTGATTTAAAGCATTAACACGTAAAGAAACTGTTAGTAGTACTTATGTTTCAACTTTAAAGACGTGCCGCAATTTATGTAAGTGAATACACGTTAATTTTAAGTATTAAAAAAGAAAAGTTTATTATTTTTTTTTTAACAGAAATTTCAAAATTTCATTACTTCTTCAATTTCTTCATTAGTAATAAATAATAATTATGGCAATATTTTTAATAATGTCATTCATTAATGGGCATTTCATTTATCACGTACATTATTCAATTATAATATGAATATTACATACGTAATCGTATAGAACATCGTCATCTTGATCTGGATCAAAATGATGATTGCTGATGATGTTGTAACAATTGTTGACGATATTGATGTTGGTGTTGCAGTAAATCTTGTTGATCTTGTAATATTTGCTGCTGTTGTTGTTGGATTTTACAATACCAACTGAATATTACAAAATTTGGTTCAATTTTTTTTCATATCAGATATTACTTATCATGCTGTTATATTAACTCATTTATATCAACAATAATAACAATTAACAATCATTATTTTATTTTAGAGCAATAAATCGAAAACACTAAAACACATCAATGACGAATAGATTTGCACTAGCGAATGATTAAAAAAAGACGTGATGAAAGAAGAATGACGTGATGATGAATATTTGATAGGAGGAAGTGGTGGTGGCACGTTAACAACTACTTCTATATTGACGTCATTATTTGTTTCTTCAACTCCACCAGTAACAAACACAATGTCATCAACAAATACCAATAATATTGATTACTTTAATCATTCTAATTCAAATGGATTGAATTCAATGACAAAATAAGCTAGTGGTGAAATAAATCGTAATGTAGCGTACAAAAGGTGAAAATAGTAATGTTGGTAATGGTAAGCGAATTAGCGGAGAGAATACGGGAGTAGTAGAATAAGTAATAAAAGTAGCAGTAGTATAAGAATAAGTGTAGGAACGAATACTATTTAATATTAATAATAATGATTCTTCAAGTAATTTAGGTATAAGAAGAATTTCAGGACATATTAAACATCAAAAATCATTCAAAAGAGATTAATTGCTGAAGAAAATTCTGATGGATCACGTCGAACAATTATGACAAAAAGAAATCATAATAGTGCGAGTGTAAGTAGAGAAGCATCTGACGCAACTTCTACTACAATAGTATTATAGTAACTACCGACCTCAACCACATATATACTGCTAGTACTATAGCATCAACCACTACTACTGTAATAAGTCCCATAGCGGAAGCAGCCGCTAAGGCTTCTTGGAATAAACCTGATATAAATGATCATTTGAGTGCTGATGAAAGAAAAGATTATCAGATTCAGTGGAAAATGTGAATGGTTAACTAAACGTCCTGTCGGTATCATTTTTCCTTAGAAGAAAACTTTATCAATTTACTTAATTTATAAAAAAAAAATAAAAAACAATTATTTACTTTAATTTGTATCAATGTATTTATATATAAATATGCAGTATATTATATTATTCTTTTTTATTATCATTTTTTTTTATTTTTACGGGTGGGAGTTTGTTCTTCTTTATTATTATTTTTTTTTTGTATTATATATTTTTCGATGGGTTCGGTTACATATTATATATGTGTATATATATATATACACTTGTATTTATGTTTAATATTGAATCTTTTAATTAAAAAAAAAGAACTTTTTTAGATATCATGCAATAATCCATGATATTTGAAAATAGAAAAATTTTTTTTAGTTATCAAATATTAATTTTTTCTAAAATAAAATTATCTCACTCTTTAATTTACGTAAATATACATACAGTACATGAATGTAGTGGTTTAATATTCTTTACCATATTAATATACCAAGAACATATAAAAGTTGAACAATATTAATTTTTTTTTTTTTTTGTGATGATCAGATAATGCCTATAAATTTATTAAATTGTTGAATTGTTAGTCCGATCTTTATTAGTGCTACATTATTTAAATTAAGGTCACAAAACGGTACAGATAAATTGAGTGTATCACAAATACTATTATTGAAACATACAGTAAATACTTTGTTCTCTTGTAATAGTTTAAGCTTAATGTAACTGTAGCACAAATTTTTGCTTTTTTATATTCCTGACCAACCCGTTCGTTTTAACTTTTTTTTTTACGTATATATAATTCTGAAATTTGTTTTTATTACTCACATATATAAAATTATAATTCATATAATTCAAACTAATAGTATGGAAAAAAAACCGAAGAAATTATGGAAGAGTGTTTATTATGAAGAGCATCAGGTATTATAAATTCACATTTATTATTATTAATTATTGAATTTTATAGTAAAAATTGTAATAATTTTTTGATCATTAAAAGGACCATGTTACAATTTCTACTATTGATTCAACTACTGAATCAGATGAAAGAATAGTTTATATGGACGATTTAGAAAAAAGAAAACAAGTATACGGAATATGTGGAGAATGTAATGAACCTGGTACAGGAGAAGCATGGTGTCAACCTTGTAATTCTAAAAGATTTAAGGATAACTTTAAAAATTGGACTAGTGGAAATAAAGACATTGATGAATTTATACAACACTCACAACTTAATGCTTTAAGTTTTCGAAAATGTCTTGAATGGGTACCTTTTGAAAAATTTCAAAATATCACTTATGTTGCCGAAGGTGGTTTTGGTAAAGTATATTCAGCTAAATGGCCTGAAGGATGTATCGAATATTGGGATATTAAAAATCAAAGATGGAAACGTAGTGCTCATAAAAAATATGCATTAAAAAGCTTAAATAATTCTTCTGATATTTGCTCAGACTTTTTAAATGAGGTAATTTATATTTACTTTGAATTTAATAATTGTTGCTTGTATTTATTTATTAGAAAAATTTCTATTTATAAATTAGATTAAAACTCACCTTAATATTCATCTTAATGATGTTATTGAATGTAATGGAATAACTCAAGATCCAAATACTAAAGCGTATATGATGATTTTATTTTACTGTAATAATGGAAATTTGAGAAATTATTTAAATAAATCCGAAGAATATATAGGATATGGATTGAAAATTTTTGAATTACTACTAATTGCAAGAGGACTTTTAGATATTCATAATTCTGGAAAAGTTCATAAAGATTTTCATTCAGGTAATATATTATTTGGGGATGATGAGCCATATATAAGTGATTTAGGAATGTGTCAATCAGCAAGTAAGCAAAAAGTTAAAGAAGAAGGAATTTATGGAGTATTACCATATATGGCACCAGAAGTTTTACGTGGGCATCAGTATACAAAAGCATCAGATATTTATTCATTTGGAATAATAATGAATGAGTTTCTTTCTGAAGAAATTCCTTATGGTGATATTCCTCATAATGAATTTTTAGCTATTACAATATGTAAAGGACAAAGACCAAAAATTTCTGAAGACGTACCAAAATTACTTGCAGATTTGATTATAAGATGTTGGGATGCCGAAATAGAGAACAGACCTACTACCAAAGAATTGTATCAGATATTAAAAAAATGGAGGGATGAAACTTATGATAGTGATGATAGTGATGATGGCGACGATGGTGAAGATAGTGAAGATAGTGAATATGACGAAGATAGTGAAGATAGTGAAGATAGTGAAGAAGATGATGAAGATGATGAAGATGATAAAGATGGTGAAAATATTCAAAATAGTGAAATTTACTCCCAAATAAAAGAAAGTGATGAGATTAGGAGGAAAAAATTTAATAACAAGCCAAAAGAAGATAAATCCAAAAATATTCAAACACATCCACAAGCCATTTATACTAGTAGACTTATAAATTTTAAAAATATTCCAAAACCAGTAAATTCTTCAGATTTATCATCTTTTCAATTTAATTCAGGTAATTTAACTTAATTTGCTTTTTATTACGAAAAATCGTTTACATTATTAATTTTATTATGTTTTTCCCAATAGATACTAATTATACTATTCAATCAACGTTAGCAAATCCAAGCAAGTATTTCTTTTAATTATCGTTACTATAAATAGTATTACATTTAAAATTTATTAACGGTCAAATACCAATTTATTAAATTTACAGTTTCAGAATGTTTAGATGTTCAATTAAGCGAATTAGGTAAGTTATTATTATTTATAACTTTATTAATATTTCTTATTATCTAATTTATTTATTTACTTATTTTTTATAGAACTAAATGAAATTTGTCAAGATAGTGAAAATAATATTGAATGAGACTTCTTTTACTTAAATCAATAGTTAAAGTACCATTCTTTTATCTTTTATCTTTTGTTTACTTTTTTATATATGTATCAATTTAAATAGAATTTTTAAAATTATATTTATTTAAATAAAGATTATAAATTTACAATTATTAATCCCGATATACGTGTATTTCCGGGGTTAGCATTATGATGGAATGCTGATGACTGGAAGAGAAAAATCTATACGACTATCTCCAATCAGTAATTCTGAAATATCGATCAATAGTCATCACAATTATCTTAGAAATAGAAAATAGAAAAGAATTTTATCATATTTTAATTTTCTTTTATTTGAAATAATTTAAAAGTTTTGAAAATGGAATTAATCGATAAGGATCTGCAGAACATGGGAAATCTGGCGTGGCGTCAAATAAAAGTAAAAAATTATGTAAAAAAAAATTATTTTAAAAAATAAACTATTTTGTACTTTGAGATAAATACTATGTATTAAAAATATGTTAGTGTTAAATCCACATAAAGAGCATTATTTAAAGAATGAAAAATCGACGTATGCACCAAAATCATGTTTAACAAATTTTTTCTTTTACTATAAAAATATAATAAAAATATAATAATCTTTTAAGTATTTAAAATGAGTGTGTTCAATAATTTAAAGTTTAAACTAAGATATTGAGATATTTGATAGTAAAACTTTAAAGAAAAATTTTTTGCTATAAATTTTTATAATGTAGTAAATTCGCAAAAAATAATCATTAATAAATTATTAGCAGTTTATCTATCCTAAAGAATTATTAATCAGTTAAATTCGTGATCCGTAATCTGGCATGCACCAAATAAAGGTAAGATCTAAGAAAATATTAGCTAGTGATGATATACGTCTTTTTTTGCAGTTTACTTTACTTACCGATCACGAATTAAAAAAATCTTTGAATACGTTTTTAAAATTTAAGTACTGTATTCATATTTATAATAAATTATTAAATATGAACTCGAAATGTGTAAACATTTTGAAATTACGACAATTACTAGTGACGGAAAACGTTAGTGTCCGAAGTGAGCTTCACGGCTTTGATTTACACATTGGATTAGTTTATTTTTAGTATATTTCTAGGTTTCATTTTTGGCAATGAATGAATGAATGAATGAATAATTATATATGTATTTTTGCTTAATTTGGTTCACACGATACTATGTTAATTTATTCATATATATTTCCGATATATCAATATCAAATACAAGTGCCGCCCGTAACGAATTATTGTATAACGACATGCCATTTGTGGATTTCTTTGGTGTCGTTATATAAAACTTAATAAATCACATTATAACGATAATTACTCGATAATTAGAAAATTTTACTAATATCCCGAAAAATGTCGTTATAACGGGCAGCACTTGTATGAACAAAATACTCATTATTAGCACAATTTACAATGTGATAGTTATATAGTAGTTATATTTAAATTTTTAATCATACTGCTCCTTATTTATTAGGTGAACTCATTAAATATTATAACATTAAATAACAAATTGATTATAAAAAATTTTTATATCAGTATTATATATTTACATATTTTATTTTTTAATCATTCTTAAAAGGAAGTTAGAATAAAGTGACTAAATGAAACTTAATAAGATCAAAAAAAATTATTAACTGCTCATGTTCACACGATATAACAAGTGATTACATTGCGACTATAATTTCGTATTATCTTACGGACAAAGAACAGGACGCTCAACATTTTTCAAAAATTTTAATGTGGTACAATCTAAACAAATTTCTGCTAAAACGCAAGAGCGGCTTATTTGATAAAGTGGAAACATGAGAATCCATATCTATTTAGTTATCTCAAATTCCAATTTTCTAAAATCCGATTTTTTCTGTATTTTATGTACGGTCACATGAGCTAGGACACGGTTTCACTTTGAGTTAAAACTAGTTTAAAAAAATTTAACTAATGTAATTATTTATTGTATTATTGAAAATTTTCATTTATTCTAGATTTATTAATTTTCGTAACTTCATGTAAAGCCTTGGCTAATCGACCGCCGACATTATTAATAATTATTTTTCTCAAAGGAAAAATAATCTTATAACTTATATCACCAAAAGTTAATCGAATTTTTTTCTTAATGAAATTTGAAAAGTGACGTTACTAATGCATATGAGCGATGTGTTTAATACAATGATAGTTGACTTTAATATTGCTAATATACGTACGATTTAAATTTTTTTTTTTTTAAAAAAAAATAAAAAAAATCCTTCGACTTTTGGATACCTTATTAATTGATTCTCACCTTTCCTAAAAAAGAAATCAATAAATCACATGATAATTTATCAACTTAAATAAGCGAAACATTCTGATCATCATGCTTTTCTCACGATTTGATTTCTTGTAAATAACGTGATGTAATAATGTTTGCAATAATTTTGTAATATTAATTTAATTTCTTCGCGATAATAATTAAGGTAGATATTTAATTTTCTTTTTTTTTTCTCTGAATTTTGAATTAATTTATTTATACAATAATATAACGATAATAAAGTTTAAATACAAATACTAATAATAGCCTTTATATAAAATAGATACATGGCAAAAGTTAGAGTTCATCATAAAAGGGTTGTACGGTATACTTGTAGTGATGAGCATAAGGGTGGCTGAGGTATACCACTTGGGTCACTACCATATATATGGTGACCACCTTATCGCAACTACGGAATAACAGAGACTAGGTAACCTTCGTCTCAACATCCAAACCTACTCACCCACGATGATGGTCACGCTTATGCTTAACTTATAAATAAATGATGGTCTACCACGAATTTCAACTATTCTTCTTTAATTACAAGTATAATAAAACAATAAATGAAATCTATAAAATAGTAAGAAAAAAAAGTCGTTAGTATGGCTGGTACCAGGTGGAAGAACCACCACCATACGCGTAAAAAAAAGTCTCCAGAAAGGTGATGGTATCATACTACTCAAGTGGAGACCCTAGAACCTGTCTCTTATACACATCTAGATGTGTATAAGAGACAGGGCTGGTACCAGGTGGAAGCAACCACCACCATACGCGTAAAAAAAAAGTCTCCGGAAAGGTGATGGTATCATACTACTTGAGTGGACACCCTGGAACTTGCACAATAAAGATTTATTTTTTGTTTATTTTTTGTTTTTTTTTTTTCATTTCATTTCTTTATTTTTCATTTTCATTTTTTTTTTTTATATTATTTTTTTTCATTTTATTTTCTGTCACTTTTTTTTTAAACCCCTACTGTAATAGTCCTTTGGGATACCACACATAGGCTAACCCTCCTCCAGGAAAGCCAGTTTCTCATATATACATGTACTTTCTTTCAACTTTTTTTATCTGTAAGCCTGTATCATTAAAACTATGCAAGCAGGGAGCGCATGCTTACCTTAATATTGGTCTACCGTAAATCTTAATTTGTAAATACAATCCATACCGTATTACATTCTTTCATCTTCGGTAGAAAATTCAAGATTATATTCTTTATTTTCAACCTAACCTTAAACATTGAGTTTGAGTATTGTTTTATATTGCTTTGTGTTATTTCATTGCCAACCAAGAAAGAATTGTCACGAGTCTTGCCTGGAAATAATAAAAATAAAAAAAATTCATTTTGAATATGTTTTCATAAAATAATAAAATGTATTTTTTCTAATATCGAAAAACAAAAGAAGACCTATATAGTAAAACATATCCTTGTTTCATCTGACGAGTTACCTATTGAAGAGAGAGTTCGTAAAAAGGAAATATTTCATATTGAATATATTTTTCCATAAAGTACGAGTTTAATTTCTCTAAGTTCGGGAGTTCGGTGAGTTTGTTATATAAATATATTTATTTGGTTTTGATAAAAAAACGATAAATGAAGTATTGAGAATATATTTTCCATAAAGTACGGAATATATTCCATATTTTAATTTTTCTGAGTGAGTTCGTTATATGAATATGTTTATTTGAAGTTTTTAAAAAAAATGAAAAATGAAGTATTGAGAAATTTGAGGGAGTTTGGGGTATATTTATACTTTTTAAAAAACCTTTTACACAATAGATGATATGGGAACTTCAATGTACAAAATTTACAAGATCAAGATTTTTTTACTATATTGTTTCATAAAGGAAATAATGACTCATAAAATCTTGAATCTTGATAAAAAAAATCTCTTTTTTTTAAAAAAAATGTAAAAAAAATGTAAAAAAAAGCTTAATATTCATGAGTCATTACTAATATTTAAAGGGGTATATCGATCGTGATTTATCATATCGATCGATTCCTAATTTTCTAATGTATTTAATTAGATCTGGAAACTAGTAATATTACCGTATATGTATGATTTTTGAATAAATTTACATGTTAGGTAGTTGTAAAGTTTGGAACATGTGGATATGACTTTAATTATCCAAACTTTTTTTATTTTTTTTCACTCGAATAAATATATATTTCCGCAGCAATAATATATTAAATGTCTGAAAAGAATGAATGGCTTAACTGGATTGTAGAAGCCATTTCTAAAAAACACATTGACCATTATGAGTATAAACATTTTAAAAATATTGAAGAAATTTGTACCGATGCTTTCAGAAGAGTTTACCGTGCGAAATGAAAACAATATTTTGCGTTAAAATCTCTTCGTAAGTGTAACGTCGCTATATCAAATCGATTCACGTGATTGAAAGTTTCCATTAAAGAGTTTTCTTTTCTAGATTGAAATCCAACGTAAAGTTACTTTTATAAATAACAAGATATAATTGAAACTTGATGACCTAACTGTGAAGTGTAACAAAGGACTAAATATTTCTATACAGTCTTGTGATGTATATAGAGTTATGATAAAAGTTACTCACGCGTAATGTAACACATAATCTTGATGTGAGTTTCATCATGACTCATGAGTAAATGAGTATAATATAAATATATCTCATTACCTTTAATTTTTTTCGTCTTTTTTTTAGGTCTACCTTTTCTCTGTCTAGGTCTTCTCTGTTTGTTGTCTTCTCTTTATTAGGTCTTCTCTTAGGCCCCTTTTCTTTACGTCTTCCTTTAGGTATGTGGGTTGGGAGTGTGAGTTTGTGTGTATGTTTGTGTATTTCCTCCCTTTCGTATTTTCGTTTTCCCCTTTCCCTTCGTTCTCCCTTTCCCTTTCGTATTCCTTTCCCTTTCGTACTCCCTTCCCTTTCGTATTCCCCTTTCCCTTTCGTTCTCCCTTTCCCTATCGTTCTCCCTTTCCCTTTCGTATTCCCCCTTTCCCTTTCATATTACCTTTCCCTGTCGTTCTACCCTTCCCTGTCGTTCTCCCCTTTCCCTGTCGTTCTTCCCTTTCCCTTTCGTATTTCCCTTTCCCTTTCGTATTCCCTTTCCCTTTCGTATTCCCTTCCCTTTCGTATTCCCTTCCCTTTCGTATTCCCCTTTCCCTTTCGTATTCCCCTTTCCCTTTCGTATTCCCTTTCCCTCCTGATCAATGTTGCTGCACCTCAACGTGGTGATCAGGTGACAACAAGTTTTTAAAAGACTTGGCTAAGTCAGCAACAAATAATAATTACGTCTAAATTGATATTTACAAACATTTTTATATTTATATTAATTTTTTTTTTTTCATTTATAATTTCATCTTACTGTAACTTGTGTTCAACATTTTCATAACCATTTCTTTCTATTATATGAATTAAATAAAATAAATTAGTGTCAGTTACAGTATACTTGCTCTTGGCCAGATATAGTAAGTAACAAGTGGAAAAAAATGGTGAGGGTAAAAAAAAGGAAAATTGCAGTTACTTACGTAGACAAGCTTTAAGAAGCGAGATCAGAAGTGACCATCATCGCGGGTGAGTAGGTTTGGATGTTGAGACGAAGGTTACCTAATCTCCGTATTCCGTAGTTGCGATAAGGTGGTCATGGGCATAAGGGTGGCCGAGGTATACCACTTTAGTCAGTACCGTATGTATGGTCACTACAAGTATACCATACAACCACCATCTGTATGGTCACTTCATAGAAAACTATATGGTGCTGCAGAGTCACTTACCCACTTTAGCTTCGCCAAAATGCTTGCTTAGGTTGGTGAAAAGGACTATGAGAACCTTGTCTATGGTAAAGCTGTGGATGCACTCGTGAAAGGCCCCACGAAATTGCTATTAAAAGTTCGGATCCTGTAAGGATTTAGAAAGCTTATAACCTTAGTTTTTGTCCCCATATGCCATATGGGAAATGTCCTTCGCAATAATCTTCTAGATAATTGCGATTGCTCACAACAAGGAAGTCTCGACTTTTAGTCGTTCTTCTGAAGATCTTTTAGATCGTATTGTGATTTTGACATCCATATCTATGCTAAAAGTGATGTTTATGTCATAATTTGGTTTAAATATCTGAAGATTTAAGGAAAATTATTTCGAATCGCGAATGATCGTATAGCACTTATGAACAAATACTAAATTTGTTCAATGACGAGATTCAACAAAGAAAAATCGAAAAAAATCTGACAATTGCATTCAGAAACTTAGATTCATATGAAAGTAATAAGGCAATTCAAATGTAATTTACTGACGTAAGTCTTATCACTGATCAGGGGTGAAGTAGAAGATCACCGGGGCATGGCGTGCTACTGGTTGAGAACATGTTGCCTTATTGATAATGAAGGTGAAAAGTAGGTGACAAATTCGCGACGTCAGTCAATGTCAGAAATTATAAGATCATCAATTTCGTTAATTTCGTTTAAGGTTATAACACAACATTGCAATATTTTTATTGTAAATTTTAAATAATATCTTTGATTTCTTTTATCGCAATATCGCGTTATAAATCTTCGCGACAACATACAAAATCTGTTCAATGGAAAGCGCCGATTCATACAGAAATCTCGTCATTATGGTAAAATTGCTACCAAGACATCTCCTAAATCACTTAAATAACTGCAAGAAAAAAAATATTTTTTTTAATTATCGTTATTGTACAACAAAGTTAAAAAATTCGCGATCTTATTGTATACCCAAAATAAAGCTTTGCTATGATTTTGTACTTTAATTCTTATTATCATTTGATTTTTTTGAGGATTTCACTTACTTGAAGCTTTCACTCACATTGGCTTGTATTTTTACATGTTTGTAATTTACTTTCGAAAGGTTTTACGTTTGGACTAACTGAATGATTAAGAATTTTTTAAAAAAATAATTTTTAACATGATTTTTGTAAATATAAATGCAATCTTTAAAAATGCCCAATTTGCAAAAAAAAAAAAAAATAATATTTCTAATAAAAAAACTATTTATTTAATTATATATATTATACTATATTATTCTTTTTATTATTAACATTTTTTTTGTCATTTTCATGGTGGAAGTTTATTTTTTTTTTTCTTCACGTTATTTTTTTTTTTTTTGTATTAAATATTTTTCGTTGGGTTTGAATTTCTTCGGTTATACACTATATGTGTGTATATATATACATTTATTTATGATTTTATGTTTAATATTGAATCTTTTAATAAAGAATGGAATCCACGATATTTGAAAATTAAAAAAAAGACTTTTTTATTCTCTTGGAGAATATATGTCATCAATTATTAATTTTTCTCACTCGCTCTTTAATTTACGTAAATATATATGAATGTAATGTTTTAATATTTGTCAACATATATTAGTTTACCAAAAATATATTAATTGAGATTCTACAGAAGCTTGTATTATCACCATATAGCATAAAATATTAATCAAGTATCATAATCAGGAAATTTTTTAAAATCTGAATACTTTTCCAAATACCCTGTGTCAAAACACGTTGGTATTTTCGGCGTAGATCTACAAAATTCGATGATGGACCGGACCGATCTACCTAAAAATTTCTGATAGTCATTATGAAATTTTTCAAATATTTTTTTTTATAAAATTTCTATTTACGAGTATTTTATTACAATAATATTAATAATATAACACGTCATTGGCATGTAACAACTCCTGAAAATCATTTGAACTTACGCTTGTTTGAAAAAAAAAATAGGTACATCCTTGTGAAAATATAACCAGTGAGTTACACAGCATTTTCTATTTCTCTAGAACATCAGTAATCAGACCATGTGTTACTCATGTTTTCATTTTGATTGATTGTTTTTTGTCTTTGCAATTTAGGATATAAAGAAGAAAAGGAAAAATACCAGAAATACTGTGTTTGAACCAATCCATAATCATTCAATACTATTTGCAATAAGGTACAGTATGTCAAATTTATAAGCTCATCATTCTTCTATCCAGAGATTTTGGAAGTTTTAAGTGTAACAAAATAATGAGTGGCGTTTGTGCATCAAAAATAGATTTAGCTATTACGAGTGATTAGAAATACCAAACGTTCGATTATAACCGACCATAACCGGTTTTTACCGTTTGGTACCGACCAGTTAACCCGTTGGTTTTATATATAAAGAAACCGATAAAAAACCCGATCAGTTACAGTAATTGTAAATTTTAATATATTCAAATAAAAAGAGATTGAGAATATCATTAAAAATTATGGTTTTTAGTATTTATAGCAAAATTTAATTTTTTTTTTTTTGCGTGTTGATCACGTGATTTTTCGTTTCGCCGAAAAAATCACAAAATCGGCATTATTTATTATAAAAAAAAATTATTTAGATTTTAAAAAAAAATAAAATTATAATTAATATTTTTTTAAACATTATTTTATTTAGTTTTGCAATAATTTTACAATCGGTTAATTTTTTCGATCGATTTTTACAGTCTATTCTGTTTTGGTTGCAAAACCGCAGTTTTAAAAACCGAAATAAACATGATCCTTACCTGTTACGTAGTGATTGACGGAAAAAAGAAATTAAAAAATTGAAGTATTGAACAATATTTGTGATTATCAATCATGTTTAACAATGCATTTTACACGTCCATATTTAGTCTAATGTTATTCTCCGCATAAAAAATTTGTATTAGTAATAACTGTGGTACAAATTTTCGCACTTTTATACTTCAACTTTTTTTTTTTTTTTTTTTTTTTTTTTT